AAACTTTCAAATTTTGATCATTTAGAAAGCCATTTGAGCATGTCCCTGTAATCCCAGCACTAGGGAGGCTGAGGCAGGAGGACCACTGTGACTTCAAGGCCAACTTGGGCCACATAGTGAGTTCAAGACTAGCCTGAACTACATAGTGAGACCCTGTCTCAAAAGAGAGAGAGAGGGACTGGGGATTTAGCTCAGCGGCAAAAGTGCCTGCCTGGCAAGTGCAAGGTCGTGAGTTCGGTTCCCGGTACCAGAGAAAAACCAAAAACAAACCAAAAAAAAAAAAAAAAGAGAGGGAGAGAGAGAAAAGCCACTTAAATTAATGAAATTTTGGAATTATAGAAAAAAGTTAAAACATAAAATAGTTGATTTTTCAAGCCCTCCCATTAACAAAGGGACTCAATCAGGTTTATGGGATTAATTTAATGAACTGATAAAAATGATTTTAACTTAGCAGCACATGTATGAAAATGATGTTTCAATAGGCCATGAGATACATTATACTTCTTTCCTCTCAACAGCTTAGTAAACATAAAATACTGCTAATGAGAGGATACACTGTACCCCCTTCTTTTAAAAATTTCAAATTACTGGGGCTGGGGATTTAGCTCAGCGGCAAAAGCGCCTGCCTGGCAAGCGCAAGGTCATGAGTTCCGTTCCCGGTACTGGAGAAAAACCAAAACCAAAAAAAAACCAAAAAAAAAAATTTCAAATTACTGTACTGTGCATTCCCCCCTCCCCATACCTTTCAGCCTTCTTTGTTCACATACTCTCACACACACACACACACACACACACACACTTCTTTCCCCTGTCCTGTTTTACACTAGGAACTTTGGAACCATTTCTTCTTCACCACCCGTCAAGCTTACTAGCATGTGCTGTGATGGGAGCCAGGGAGCCACGCTGCTCTCATTTCTCGCGCTGACTGTGACAGAGCTGCAAGCTGTTACTGACACAACTTCGCTGCTCTGCTGTCTGCGTGGATCTGACGCCTGCGGGGGCGGGTGAAGGGGATGGCAAAAGACTCCGTCTTCAGGATCGAGTCCCGCCTCCATCTGTTGCTGGGCGGCCTGGGGAAACTCCTTCTCTCTGAGATGCCATCTTCTGACCAGTAAAATGGGAGAGAGAATAGCACTGGTTTAGATTTTTGTGAGGAAGGACTGTGAAAAATGGGTGGGACACTGTAAGCTTGATCCGTGTGACTGTTGTAATTTGCTGGAGACTGGTACTTACAGGGAAGATGGCGGAGGGGCTTCTTTCAGACCCCACATGGTCCTCTCCCCTGTATCACAGCAACATTTGTGTCCCCTCCAGGAATCTGCCCTGCACAACTTCTGACTTCCTACTCCTCTCTGCACGCCCCCCAGCCCCTCCACATATGACCTGGAATTGTGGTTATTCATGGCATCTCCTCCTTCAGGAACAGGAGCTCCTGGAAGGCAGGGATGGCTCCCAGCCCAGCCACGCTCACCTCTCTTGCTCACACATCCTCATTCCGAGTTCATGAGTGGGATCCCAACACTCAGTACCGAGTTAACGATCATACCCCTGTCCCCCTGCAGTTGAATTCCTGCCATAATTCTAATTTGTCAAAGGGTGTGTACTTTCTGGTATATTCTTCCAGGATGCATATTATGGAGAAAACAGGCTCCCAATACAGTAGACCCAGCTTTCTCTTTGAAGGACGCTATCAGCAAGTCTGAGGGATGTCTGGGTATCACATTTTCTCCAATCTTTAAGCTGCAGTGACTTTTGGCAACCACTGAACAGTAGTACAGACAGCACCTTCTCCTCCAGTCTCCACAGCAGGACTGCAGGAGATTCAGCCTCCACTGGGAAAAGCTGGGAAAGACAGGGCTGCAGGTTCTGGAAGGGGCAGGACTGTCCCATCATTTCAGAAGCCTGGGCCAGCTATCATCGCTGCTGGGAAACAGTTACATGGCCCATTCTTATCTTTGGGGTGACTGAAAAATGAGGGGAGGTCAAGGTTTTGCAATAGTTAAAAGGAGTTTCTAAAGAGTTCTTATCATCAGGGAGGACTTGCGCAGCTGGAAGCCTTCGACCTAGGAGTTTCTGGGTTGTGTTTGGGAGGGAAGCTGGCAGGAGGCCTGTGGGACTCTGCGGCCGCTCTAAGGAGGTGGACATGGTCTTTCTCATGGGGAGGAGGCAGAGTTGCAACAGCTGCAACAACCCAGAGCAGGGATTTTAAAGAGGAAATTAACCAAGACTGAGGGAGGAAAGGCAATGCCAGTGAGGCTCGCCTGCTCTGCTCAGCATATTCTCCAGGAGCAGTGGGCTGGGCCTCGCTCCCTAGGCCAGTGTCCCTGCTGTCCCTCCAGCCCTCCTAGAGCTTTCGTTTTTTTCTCCCGGAAGTTATGTGCATGAATTGCCATTGACCGCTTTTGTAATAATCCTGCAGAACCAGTTCAGTTGGTTAAAAATATTAAAACATCTATAAATAGCATGCATGGAAGATGATACCCATATTGAAAATAAATATTGGAGATGTACACAATGTACAGTACTTTGTGATTTGTCTTCCTGGAAAAGTTTTAATTAATGGGACTTAAATTCAAATTTTATGATGAGTATTATTTAATTCAAGGAGTGTGCAGTTTGTGGTTGGCACTGTGCTAGACTAAAGCAAACAGCTCTTTGGAGCACAAATAACCATGAGTCCTATTTAGTATGAATGCCACACTGCTGTTTTGAAATATCATGTAATTCACAAAAGCAAATAAATAAATATATAGCATAATTAATTGCTATAAAGACACAAATTATCCCTCAGATCAAAAATTAAAACATCAGCTGAACATTGAACAATCTTCCTAACTATGGCAACATCCAAAAAAGCTTGGTTTCACCTGTTTCTGAACTTTCTATGTGTTCAAATCAGATAGTTTGTACTCTTGTGGCTGGCTCATTGTGTTCCTGTGATTCATTCTTGTTGTATGTTCTGTCATTTTCTTGACTCAACAGTATGATAAATATATTTCACAGCTAATTCATCCATGTTACCATTTTGGACATTTAGATTGTTTTCAGCTCTGAGCTCTTACACAGTGGCAGTCACACACGTTTGTATAGCACAGAAGCACACGTGTTTACTCACAGAAGGACCCGGGTCCCAGCTGGCATAGTTACAAGATGCAAGCGGATGAGATCCCTAGGTCACTAACAGACAGCCACCAGGATCCACAGTGCCACACTGCCGGGTCTCCTAGCAATACCCAGCAAGGGCTTGCTGCCAAATGTGCACAGAAACCAACACTGTGGCACTGGTTTTGCAAAAAGAAGAGCCGTGTCACTGCGGGACCATCAAGTAGGCAAGGGACACACTCAAACCGGCCTCCCTGATGGGCCACAGAGGAGGAATCAAGTCATCCAGCCTAAGGGGACATGGAGAGCCAACTGGCTGTAATGGGGGAGTTTCAAGTCTCTCCTCATCCCTGCCCATCGTACAGCTCTAGACGGCACCCCAGCCCCTAACCTCTGGGCGCAGGGCACCGATCGTGTTTATGTTCTGCTCCTGGGAGACTTCTGGCTCCAACAGGCTCTCGGGATCACTTTAGGTCAGGTCCTGGGGCTCTGTGTCAAGAAAACAGCCCTTTTATAGCTTAATTTCACCAGGGCCTTGGGAGGTGCTCATTGCCACCCACTAGCCCTAGATTCAAGTTCCCAGCCTTTTGACAAATCTCTGCACTCCAACAATTACGGCCATACTTCCAGGTCTGATTTATACTGTCTATATTTACATGCTGGGCATTGGTTAGTTGCTCAGGCACTTAGGTTTGGGTCCTGGCACTGTTACTTCCTAGTGTGTGGAACTCAGATTTGTCATTTAATAGCTCTGTGCCTCAGGGTTTTCTGTCTGTAAAATGGGTACAGGGAATGACAAGATTAAAAGAACGAGTTTAGGCAGAGTACTTATAACAATGTCCGGTACATAACAAACAGTATTTCTCAGCTCTTGTCTTTACTGCTACTAGTATTGTGTTGCAGACATACTAACATTCAGGGCACACCCACCCCAGGAGCCCCTCCTCCTTCTCCTCCTCCTGGTGTCCGGAGGAGACCCCAAAGGGACAGCCCTGCTTTGACCATATGCCGGCGGAAGCCAGGGAGAAGAAAAGCAAAGATGACTGGTCAGTTTATTTTCAGATAATATTGCCAAATTGCATTTAAATAAACGAAGGAATTGGGGTTAAAAAAGAAATTCTTTGGACCCTGAATATATGGCTGGTAAGAGGAGAAAATTAAACAAGCATCAGTGTTAAGGGGTAGCCTTTTGTGCCCAAAGAATGCGTGATTTTAGAAGACTTAGAGGTTGCCTGTCGTTCCATCTCATTCAGAGGACACGCAGCCAGGACACTACCATCTGCCCTTTGGTGGGCGTTGCATGGAGGCCCAGAGCGCCACGTGCGTGGGGGAGGGGACGGGGGAAGGCGACGAGTGAGGGGAGGGAGACGAAGGAGAGCAGCAGGCGGAGCGGTGGAGGAGGGGGAAAGTAGGGGAGGAGGACAAGGGTGTCGAGAGAGGAGAAGGAACCTGGACAAGAGGAGGAGCTGGGAGCAGGGGAGGAGGAGAAGGAGGAGGGGCAAGGCGAGCCAAAAGCAGCTGGAGCGTGGGTCCCCGCGGGCTCCGGGACGCGGCGGCGGCGCGGTGCAGGGACGCAACGCGCAGGCGGGGGCGCTGTGGTCTCGCTCGGGGATCGCGG